TTTGAAACTGAAAATAGGCGCAGAGAGTCAGAATTCGGCTCAAAAATCACGCTCAGGATTCAAATTTCCGACATTTCAGATATTTTGAAAACTGCAGGGGGGTTTGGGCAAAATAAGACCCATCGCCGTTTTCGGTAATTGGCATATTTTCTGTATAAAAAATCGTAATTTGAAACTGAAAAGAGGTGTAGAGAGTCAGAATTCGGCTCAAAAATCAGCCTCAGGAGTCAAATATCCGACATTTCATATATTTTGAAAACTGCAGGGGGGTTTGGGCATAATGTGACCCATCCCACTTTTCACTAATTGGCATATTTTCGGTATAGAACGTCTTTTGAAATTGCATTCAATTCAATATCCCTACGAAGTTGTCTATAACCCCCTTAGGTTGCGTAATTTTGCAGGCTCGTAAGTTTTATAATATGTTCAGACTATGCAATGTACAAGGATAGCTGTACAGGTTTCTGAAGTGGACACGTAAATGCTTGATGAATTGGCATTGCACTGATGGTCGAAAGTCAGGTTTCGTAAACCATATGCAGGCGATGAGTCACAATAACGTGGCTGAAGAATGTTGACCAGACCACACACTAGATGGTGAAGGGACGACGACGTTTCGGTCCGTCCTGGACCATTCTCAAGTCGATTGTCGACTTGAGAATGGTCCAGGACGGACCGAAACGTCGTCGTCCCTTCAACATCTTCGTAAACCATATTCAACTACCCAAAAGGTTACACTACAACACACATTCCCTTCCCCAACCCTTTCCCCTCCCTCCCTCCCTCTCCCCTTCACAAGAAAGCAGGACCCGTGAAGGGGACATTGTTTAGTATATATGAAAGAGCTGCTGTAAAATGCTTCAGTTCAGTAACAGACGAGACAGTGCTGTTAAAGTCGGAATGTTACTCGTCCGTTTTCTATTGATTTGGTAGTGGCCGGGGGTGACTAAACGTGAACAAATCCACGAAGGCCGTGACGAGGATTCGAACCTGCGTCCGAGAGCATCCCAGACGCTGCCTTAATCAGAAAAGTACTGTACTGAGCGCTGCTCTTTCACCCTTCACACACACAACCTTGTGGCTGTCAACGTGCCAATGAACGGTTAAACGAATATATCAGTACACGTCCGGATGAACGAACCTGTTCAACGGATGAACGAACCTGTTCAACGGATGAACAAGTAAACTTAGCATATGTGTGTGATCCCAGCGGACGGTTCAGAGGTGTCAACAAAGCAAGATAATTCCCGAACGAGAGTGTCAAAATACGGGCCAAATATACCAACTAGCGATCAAACGAATTAAGAAAACAGCGATCGAGCGTATCAAATGGCGATGACAGTTAGCCAATCAGCGGACGTACACACTAAGAAGCGCGTGCCAACGAACGAGTTAGCGCGCCAATTAGTGAGCGAGTGTGGCAGGAATAACGAGCCAGGGAACGAACGAGTGAGAGGCGGCTCTTGTATGCGATGGCAGGCTTCAGGACGCGGCCTGAACACGTCGTGGTTACAAAAGGAGGAGGAGACGGCGCTGGTGAAGAAAGCGGTCTACCGTCCGTGTCACGCGGCGCCGAGTGAAGAAAGCGGTCTACCGGCCGTGTCACGCGGCGCCAATCTTAGGTGACTGTCTCCCTTTTATCCTAGTCCCCGTCCCCCACCTCGTCCCCCAACCCCGTCCCTATCCCGTCTTCAAAACCTTCACCCTCCTAGCCCTCTATCCTACCTCTGTAGTCTCATGTTTCTCTTCTCTACATATATATATATATATATATATATATATATATATATATATAATATATATATATATATATATATATATATATATATATATATTCTTCTTCCTATCTATCTTTTTCCCTTCATCCGCAAATCCCCCCTTGTCCCAGATACGTCCCTCTTTCTCTATTCCCTTTTGCTCTCTCTTCTCAGTCTCCATTCTCTTGGTAACTATTCTTTAGCTAGTTTTTCTCCTTAAAAAAGGGGGGATCTTCCACTTTATTGATGTCCTTCTTGGTTCATCTTTACCTCAGCCCTCTCTCAGCTCTGCCACTCTCAGCACCTCCTCTCTCTCAGCTCTGCCACTCTCAGCACCTCCTCTCTCTCAGCTCTGCCACTCTCAGCACCCTCCTCTCTCTCAGCTCTGCCACTCTCAGCACCCTCCTCTCTCTCAGCTCTGCCACTCTCAGCACCCTCCTCTCTCAGCTCTGCCACTCCCAGCACCTTCCCTCTCTCAGCTCTGCCACTCCCAGCACCTTCCCTCTCTCAGCTCTGCCACTCCCAGCACCTCCCCTCTCTCAGCTCTGCCACTCCCAGCACCTTCCCCTCTCTCAGCTCTGCCACTCCCAGCACCTCCCCTCTCTCAGCTCTGCCACTCCCAGCACCCCCTTCTCTCGGCTCTGCCACTCCCAGCACCCCCTCTCTCAGCTCTGCCACTCCCAGCACCCCTCTCTCTCAGCTCTGCCACTCCCAGCACCTTCCCCTCTCTCAGCTCTACCACTCCCAGCACCTCCCCTCTCTCAGCTCTGCCACTCCTAACACCTCCCCTCTCTCAGCTCTGCCACTCCCAGCACCTTCCCCTCTCTCACAGCAGCTCTGCCACTCCCCCCCTTCTCTGCAGCTCTCTCAGCTCACTCCCAGCAACCCCCCTCTCTCAGCTCTGCCACTCCCAGCACCTTCCCCTCTCTCAGCTCTGCCACTCCCAGCACCTTCCCCTCTCTCAGCTCTGCCACTCCCAGCACCTTCCCCTCTCTCAGCTCTGCCACTCCCAGCACCTTCCCCTCTCTCAGCTCTGCCACTCCCAGCACCTTCCCCTCTCTCAGCTCTGCCACTCCCAGCACCTTCCCCTCTCTCAGCTCTGCCACTCCCAGCACCTTCCCCTCTCTCAGCTCTGCCACTCCCAGCACCTTCCCCTCTCTCAGCTCTGCCACTCCCAGCACCTTCCCCTCTCTCAGCTCTGCCACTCCCAGCACCTTCCCCTCTCTCAGCTCTGCCACTCCCAGCATCTTCCCCTCTCTCAGCTCTGCCACTCCCAGCACCTTCCCCTCTCTCAGCTCTGCCACTCCCAGCACCCCCTCTCAGCTCTGCCACTCCCAGCACCTCCTCTCTCGTTACAACTCTTGCAGAGTCCTTCACCCCACCCCCCTCCCTGTTGCCCCTCCCTGTTGCCCCTCCCCTGTTGCCCCTCCCCTGTTGCCCCTCCCCGGGGTGCGCGCGCACGGTCGATCACTGACAATGACGTCACCAACGCACCGATTCCCTGCAAATGTCACGCCGCGAACACCTCACCCCGGTCATTTGTACACACCGGTGATCAATACTCCAGCCCCAGGACACCGGGTGTACCGGGAGCTTGTTTTTCCTGCGTCTTGAGTCGTAGTGAGTGGGGGGGGCTGGAGTAGGTGTCTTCTACCCCACCTTTCTCTCCCCCACAAGGGGTGGGTTTGATGGGTGGGAGAGGGGGAGGTATTGTGTTATTGTTTTGACTGCTGGAGGGTGTGTGGGTATAGGTGACTCGTGAGGTGATGGTGTGGGTGTGTGTTGTCTTTGGGGGTCTGATTTTTTTTAAACGTGGTTGATTGAAACGTCGAATTGGAAGCGTGTGTTGAGTGTGGAGGGGTGGTGGGGGGTGTTGTGTTGCCAGTGGCGGTGTGTGGCAGCAGGCGAGGCACCACTACGGCACCAGCTGGCCTCCAGTCGGCACTGTGTCCCCGGGTCAGGCAGGCAGGCAGGCAGGCAGGCAGGCAGACAGACAGGTGTTTTGTGGTGTGTAGCGTCGTGCTTCTCCGCGCTCTACTTCGTCAGCTGAGGTGTCTTCGTCGCGCTCCCTGTCCTTCCCCTGCTCAGTTCTCTGTACCACGTGCTTCTCTCGTCAGCAGTTAGCGTCGTAACATTTGGGCACCTCCACCTTCGCTGCCTTTACCTTTGTGCGCTTACTAGCCGCTGGTCGGTGTAGTAATTGCTGCGGTGTCGTGTATACGTAGCACTGTGTTTGTGAGGGCCACGAGTGCCTGGACCTGAGGCCACAGGTGCCATAAACTGATATTTGCTGCATCGGGTCCTTCGGACGCAGTGCATCGTGAAGAGAAACCTTTACATGGTGTGTCATCAGGCTACGGTGTATGTACCTCAGTCTTGCAACCACACCTGCCTTCCACAGTCAAAAAAACACATGGAAATGCTCCCCCAGCAAGCTTAAAGAAGCACTCAAAACATCTTCACGGTCAAATACGTTATTTATGAGCATCAGCAAATCATCTAAAATCTAATCAGCCAGGATTGTACAGGAACTTTCGTACATTCCTTTACTAGCATCGTTTAGTTCCCGCCTCGCCTGCTTGGCTCGGCTCCTGCCATATCAAGACCTTCCGGGGGGGGAGGGTCTCAGGGTACACAAGGCTGTACCCGCGGGCTCTTGACCCACTCTTCCTTTCAACCGTGACTTGCAACACACTTTATATCTTGGCATTGCAAACATGGTACATGGACACCGTCCGGCATTCACTCTCATCTGTTGGAGCTCACTAAGTAGCCGCTGCAGCTTCCGTATTGTATGAAACGTGTTGCACACACTCAATATTGCGCTCTTAACTGTCTTCAAACTGTACTATGAACCAAAAGAAAATAAACTGCAGCACAGAATGTTTTCTTCAACTGAATACTGATGCAGTGTTATAATTCGCTCATGCATAATAAATACAAATTTGTGCATTTATCGTTGCAGTTAATGCTTTAGTGATAAGCCTATCTAAGTATTAACTCATGAAATATCTATACGAGCTTTACCCTGCCTCCCTCCGAACCTAGGGAAGATATATATTCCCAGAGGATCATACGAGTGATGGATATCAACATATTATCAACAGACACAACATTAATGGGCTTCAAATGTTCTATTGACATCAAGATAGATTAAATTGCCTTCAGCAGTGCCGACATTCGCAACATGCCAAGATAAAATAAATATGAGCAACGTGACACTGGTTACAGTGTGGTTTAAAGGCAAGAATTATGAGCATGAAATGATTGTATAAGGTTGGAGTGCTGTAGAGAGAAGCCCGCTACAGAGGCCGTAGCTGGGGCAGTGACTGTGCATTAGTCAGGTTTTCCACTATACCGAGGACAGTGCCCACACAGCAGGTCTGTATTGCAACAGTGCATTGTAACGACGGCTACCAGACCTGTCAGAATAGCCGAAGAGAGCTATTCATTATCTCGTAGAACGTCGACAACCCAGACGGCAAGCTGCAGCGCCGACAGTCCACGTTCGTGCCCGGCCTGGAGGCCTACGACGACGACATGGGGTCGCAGGGGGCCCACCCTGCGTGCCTCTTTCTGGCCCTGACCCTACTGGTGACGGGGGCGGCCACCGTCATCCTGTCCACGGCCATCCTCACCAACCACTGGGAGGTGATCACGTTCGATAAGGCCGCCGTGGAGAGGATCGCCGCCAGACACAACGCTACCCACACCCTCACCTGGCTCTGGAACGGCAAGGTTGCTAAGGTTAGTCTGGCGCGGCGTGTTTGTCTGGCCTTCCTTCTACGGCGTGTTGACTGACTCTTTGTCGGGAGCGACCTGCATCAGTCTCTCCTTGAACACACACGTTTTCTCTCTCTCTCTCTCTCTGTCTCTCTGTCTCTCTCTCTCTCTCTCTCTGCTCTCTCTCTCTCTCTCTCTCTCTCTCTCTCTCTCTCTCTCTCTCTCTCTCTCTCTCTCTCTCTCTCTCTCTCTCTCTCTCTCTCTCTCTCTCTCTCTCTCTCTCTCTCCTCTCTGTCTCTCTCTCTGTCTCTCTCTCTGTCTCTCTCTCTCTCTCTCTCTCTCTGACTCTCTCTCTCTCTCTCTCTCTCTCTCGCTCTCTCTCTCTCTCTCTCTCTCTCTCTCTCTCTCTCTCTCTCTCTCTCTCTCTCTCTCTCTCTCTCTCTCTCTCTCTCTCTCTCTCTCTCTCTCTCTCTCTCTCTCTCTCTCTCTCTCTCTCTCTTTTATTTAATTCAAATTACCGGCTTTTGTTGGTTTAAAACAGTGTGTAAGTCTGCTGTATTTCACACTGGTATTTATGAATCACTTTCTTGTCTGTCTAAACAGCGTATTCTCAAATTCTCGGGTCTGTGGCACAAATATATGTAATGAAATAGTCAGAGGAATTTAGGCAGTGAAATTGACATATCAACTCGTTCGTGCTTCCCATTCCATTTCCCGAGATGGGCAGGGAAGATGGCAGGTGGGAAAGAACGGAATGGGGGAAAGGGGCAAAAGAAATAGAGGCGAGGAAAGACGGGGAGAGGAGGAAATAACTTGTATTTGAGTGTTTTGATAAATTTGCTTTTAATCACAGGTGAAGCATCACAGGTGAGGCATCACAGGTGAGGCATCACAGGTGAGGCATCACAGGTGAGGCATCACAGGTGAGGCATCACAGGTGAGGCATCACAGGTGAGGCGTCACAGGTGAGGCATCACAGGTGAGGCATCACAGGTGAGGCATCACAGGTGAGGCATCACAGGTGAGGCATCACAGATGTGCATCACAGGCATCACAGATGAGGCGTCACAGATGAGGCATCACAGGTGAGGCATCACAGGTGAGGCATCACAGGTGAGGCATCACAGGTGAGGCATCACAGGTGAGGCATCACAGGTGAGGCATCACAGGTGAGGCATCACAGGTGAGGCATCACAGGTGAGGCATCACAGGTGAGGCATCACAGGAGTACAGAAGTTATGGTGGAATTATGCCTTACTGGACAACCCCCCCCCCCTGCCCCTTCCCTTGTCGCGTTAATACCATCTATTACACCTATATTTACCGTTACACCTTTACAACTCCATAGTGCTACACTCCACCCTCCCCTACTCCCTCTACCCACACTTTGACCACACACCCCCTACTTTTGTCTCTCAGTCCAACACCCTTCAGCCCCTTCCCCCACCTCCCAAACCCCCATTAACCCCTTCCGCGACCCCTAACCCGGCCTCCAGACTTCCCCTTAACGTAGGGCGCAGCACAAGCAATGGATAAACACTGTTTTGTATCATAACTACCGGGCTAATGTCCGCCCCCCCTCGCGGCGACTACCTTGCGCGAGACTCAAGTTAATGTTTCCTTTGTCACGTTGTGTCCGGCTCCCCCCCCCCAACCCCCCTCCCCTGTGTTATGTCCGGCTCCCCCCAACCCCCCTCCCCTGTGTTATGTCCGGCTCCCCCCCCAACCCCCCTCCCCTGTGTTATTTCCGGCTCCCCCCCAACCCCCCTCCCCTGTGTTATGTCCGGCTCCCCCCAACCCCCCTCCCCTGTGTTATGTCTGGCTCCCCCCCCAACCCCCCTCCCCTGTGTTATGTCCGGCTCCCCCCAACCCCCTCCCCTGTGTTATGTCCGGCTCCCCCCCAACCCCCCCTCCCCTGTGTTATGTCCGGCTCCCCCCCAACCCCCCTCCCCTGTGTTATGTCCGGCTCCCCCCCAACCCCCTCCCCTGTGTTATGTCCGGCTCCCCCCCAACCCCCCTCCCCTGTGTTATGTCCGGCTCCCCCCCCAACCCCCCCTCCCCTGTGTTATGTCCGGCTCCCCCCCAACCCCCCTCCCCTGTGTTATGTCCGGCTCCCCCCCCAACCCCCCTCCCCTGTGTTATGTCCGGCTCCCCCCCAACCCCCCTCCCCTTTGTTATGTCCGGCTCCCCCCCAACCCCCTCCCCTGTGTTAGTCCGGCCCCCCCCCCCCCCCGCGTGTCGTGTCCTGCATACACTGTTATCACAGTCACTGCGGGTGTTTATATCTGTTATTATTGTCGTTGTAGCTGTTTTTTTCAGTTATTTTCACCGTGAATGTTCTTTTTTTTATTATCATATTGTTGTTATGGTTGTTCTTGCCTGTTGCTGCCGCTGTTCTTGCCTGTTGCTGCCGCTGTTCTTGCCTGTTGCTGCCGCTGTTCTTGCCTGTTGCTGCCGCTGTTCTTGCCTGTTGCTGCCGCTGTTCTTGCCTGTTGCTGCCGCTGTTCTTGCCTGTTGCTGCCGCTGTTCTTGCCTGTTGCTGCCGCTGTTCTTGCCTGTTGCTGCCGCTGTTCTTGCCTGTTGCTGCCGCTGTTCTTGCCTGTTGCTGCCGCTGTTCTTGCCTGTGAATGGCTGTATAGTGTCAAATACATCATTTTAAGGTCTGAACCTTTAAGGTGTATAAGGCCTCAGGTCTTCACAGCGATATCACAGCGATATCTATCTTCACGAAGGCATATCTTCACAGGTACATACATGTACCTTGGGTTATCCTCACCACGTTGGAGAAATGGGTGATATCACCAGGCTTTAGGTCTGAAAGGCTGCTGGAGACTTATTTACAAAGTCTTGTATATATATATATGTATCTCGTGATGTTGTCAGAGCCAAGCCATTGGCTTTAGCTGTCTTTGGTGGCTTGGTGAGTTGTATTTAATATGGACTTTCTGCAGATTCCTACCCCCTTTCCCCCTAAGTTTGGAGGGGATTGGGGAAAGGGAGGAAAGCCAGCCCCTTCCACCCCCTATTCTCCCACCCCCCTTAGCCTATCTTCCCACAATCTTCCCCCTTAGCCCTATGCCCCTTCATCTACTCATTCTCAACCACCAATTCCTCATCCCACATCTCATATTTCCTCATCACAATTCCCCTCTGGCTAACCCATTCCACAACTCATTCCTCCAAAGCCTTATTTCTGCCCATAAGCCTTCTGCTTCCCCCCCCCCCCCCCCACCAAGCCTACCCCCACTTCCCTAATCTTCCTCCCCTCCCTCCCCCCCCCCCTCCCCTCTCCCCCCCCCCGCCCCTCTTCCTCCACAAATACCCTGTAAGAGGTTATTGCTCTTTCGTCCGCGGTCTTGTGACAGCGTGACCCGGAAGCTGGTTGAGGTGGTTCTGTGGTTTGCTTGTCTTCCCTTTAATTTCTGGTTAAGTTGAAGTTTTCGTGTGTGTGTGTGTGTGTGTGTGTGTGTGTGTGTGTGTGTGTGTGTGTGTGTGTTGTGTGTGTGTGTGTGTGTGTGTGTGTGTGTGTGTGTGTGTACTCACCTATATGTACTCACCTATATGTGCTTGCAGGATCGAGCATTGACTCTTGGATCCCGCCTTTCTAGCTATCGGTTGTTTACAGCAATGACTCCTGTCCCATTTCCCTATCATACCTAGTTTTAAAAGTATGAATAGTATTTGCTTCCACAACCTGTTCCCCAAGTGCATTCCATTTTCTACTACTCTCACGCTAAAAGAAAACTTCCTAACATCTCTGTGACTCATCTGAGTTTCCAGTTTCCACCCATGTCCACTTGTGTGTGTGTGTGTGTGTGTGTGTGTGTGTGTGTGTGTGTGTGTGTGTGTTCATCTAGTTGTGCTTGCGGGGGTTGAGCTCTGGCTCTTTCGGCCCGCCTCTCAACTGTTAATAACAAAATTTGTTTGTGTGTTTGTGTTAGGTGTGTTGGTGTGTGTGTGTGTGTGTGTGTAACGTGTTTGTGGTGTACTCACCTAGTTGTGTTTGCAGGGTTGAGCATCTGCTCTTAAGCCCCGCTTTTCGATCTTTAATGCAGTGACTTTTTCACTGGTTTTCTGATCATATTTACATTTAGAGTTGTGTATCGAATTGGCTTCGAAAAGTTCCTCTTCTAGTCCGTTCCACTTATTTACGACTCTTGGACTGAAAAAGTTCTTTCTGACATTTGAATGTCTCATCTGTATTTCCAGTTTCCAATTATCTTGTTCTAATGTTCCTTAATATGAACAGTGCTTCTGTATCTACGTTTCTCAATCCCTCTTATTATCTTGTATGTCGTTATCATGTCTGCCCTATTCCTTCTTCCCTCTAGTGTAGTGAGGACCTCCTTCCTCAGTATTTCTACATAGCTCAGTCTCCATAGTTCAGGAGCTTCGTTGCATATTTTTCCATGTTCTCTAGCTTTGAATTATTTATTTAGGTAGGGGTTTCATGCCGGGGCAGCATACTCAATAACAGGTCTCACGAAGGTTGTATATACACAGCGCTTGAAAGGGGATCTTTGTCCAAGTTCCTGAAGGATTTCCTCTTGAGATTATCTTGAGATGATTTCGGGGCTTTAGTGTCCCCGCGGCCCGGTCTTCGACCAGGCCTCCACCCCCAGGAAGCAGCCCGTGACAGCTGACTAACACCCAGGTACCTATTTACTGCTAGGTAACAGGGGCATAGGGTGAAAGAAACTCTGCCCAATGTTTCTCGCCGGCGCCTGGGATCGAACCCAGGACCACAGGATCACAAGTCCCGCGTGCTGTCCGCTCGGCCGACCGGCTCCGTCAGGATATCCGGAGGTTAAACCCTACTTAGAGAAAATAATAAATTACTTTATAAAGTTCATGGCTTTAAGTGCACTGGGTGTTAAAGGTAATTATAGTTTTGTATCTAGTGGTTTATAGTGAGTATGGTGCAAATACAAAATGTGTGAGGTGAGTGAAGGCCAAAATACACCGAGAGATGTATATCTCACTTCTCGGTGTGTGTATATATATACACTGTGAGGTTTAATCCT